TTTGTGACCCTGTGGACTACCCCATGGAGAAGCCCCCTACCAGGCTCTTCTGTCCATGGGATTTTCCAGGCAAGGGTACTGGAGTGGGTTGCCATCTCCTTCTCCAGGGGATCTTCCTGATCCAGGGATCTAACCTGGGTCTCCCGCACTGTAGGCAGATGCTTTATCCTCTGAGCTACATGCCCCCTTCAGTGGAAGTGCAGTCTTAACCACTGGACCACCAGGGAAGTCACTTTACATGTTTTTTTAAGAATGTCCTGAGCTGAGTGCCTCTAGCAGAAGCTTTATGGCCAAGACTTTGAGATGTATTAGTTAAATTCTTGTTAAACCATACTGAGGAACTTGAAGAGAATTATTCTTCTTTTCTGAGATGGGTCAGGGTAAAACATTTGGTGCTCTAAGGGGGTTGCTATGACCAGAGAAGTTTGTGCTGAGGTGAGGGCTACCACTTTCTCAGCCACAAAGGAAGAGCACACATATTTATTATGATTTGTAAGGCATTTTAAAAGTGTATTATCTATTCCGATAGTACCCATGAGGATTTCAGGATCAGACAACTCAACTCTGCCACTTGCTCGGTGTGTGACTTTTGCATATCTTTGTCTCCTCATCTGTAAGGTGGGGATATTAATACTATTTGGTTGCTGTGAGGATTAAATGAGAGTTAACATAATTGACACATACTCAAGAAAAACTTTCAGGTATTATTTTAGATAAAGAATCTGAGTCTTAGGTTAAGTGGCTTATCTTTGTGAGTAAGAAGGGTAACACTGGATCTAGAGTTTACTTTCTGTGTGTTTTTGTTGGAGCATTTAATCCATTTACATTTAAAATAATTATTGACATTTATGTTCCTATTGCTATTTTCTTAATTGTTTGGGGTTGATTTTGTAGATCTTTTTTCTTCCCTTGTATTTCTTGACTATATAGGTCCCTTTAACATTTGTTGTAAAGCTGGTTTGGTGGTACTGAATTCTCTTAACTTTTGCTTGTCTGAAAAGCTTTTTATTTCTCCATCAATTTTGAATAAGATCCTTGTCAGATACAGTAATCTTGGTTGTAGATTTTTCCTTTTCAGTACTTTAAATATATCCTGCCATTCCCTTCTGGCCTGCAGAGTTTCTGAAGAAAGATCAGCTGTTAAGTGTATGGGGTTTCCCTTGTATGATACCTGTTGCTTCTCCCTCGCTGCTTTTAATATTCTTTCTTTGTGTTTAGTCTTTGTTAGTTTGATTAGTATGTGTCTTGGCATTGTTTCTCCTTGGGTTTATCCTGTATGGGACTCTGTGCCTCTTGGACTTGATTGACTATTTCCTTTTCCATGTTGGGGAAATTTTCAACTCTAATCTCTTCAAAAATTTTCTCATACCCTTTCTTTTTCTCTTCTTCTTCTGGGACCCCTATAATTAGATTGTTGGTGCATTTGATATTGTCCCAGAGGTCTCTGAGTTTGTCCTCAGTTCTTTTCATTCTTTTTACTTTATTCTGCTCTTCAGAAGTTATTTCTACCATTTTATCTTCCAGCTCACTGATTCGTTCTTCTGCTTCAGATGTTCTTCTATTGATTCCTTCTAGAGTATTTTTAATTTCAGTAATTGTGTTGTTTGTCTCTGTAGGTTTATTCTTTGATTCTTCTAGGTTTTTGTTAATTGATTCTTGCATTTTCTCCATTTTGTTTTCAAGGTTTTTGATCAACTTTACTATCACTATTCTGAATTCTTTTTCAGGTAGTTTGCCTATTTCCTCTTCATTTATTTGGACTTCTGTGTTTCTAGTGTGTCCCTTCATTTGTGTAGTATTTCTCTGCCTTTTCATTATTTTCTTTTAACTTACTGTGTTTGAGGTTTCCTTTTCCTAGGCATCAAGGAAAGTTGAGTTCTTTCCTTGAAGAAGGTTGAATTCTTTCTTCCTTTTGATTTTTGCCCTCCTGAGTTTGGTCTTCCCTGGTGGCTCAGATGGTAAAAGCGTCTGCCTACAATGGGGGAGACCTGGGTTCGATCCCTGGGTCGGGAAGATCCCGTGGAGAAGGAAATGGCAACCCACTCCAGTACTCTTGCCTGGAAAATCCCATGGATAGAGAAGCTTTGTAGGCTACAGTCCATGCGTTCGCAAAGAGTCAGACACGACTGAGTGAGTTCCCTTTCCCTAAGCTTGGTCCAGTGGTTTGTGTAAGCTTCATATAGAGTGAGATTTGTGTTGAGTTTTTGTTTGTTTGTTTGTTTTTCCTCTGATGGGCAAGGCTGAGTGAGGCAGTAATCTTGTCTGCTGATGACTGGGTTTGTATTTCTGTTTTGTTTGTTGTTTAGATGAGGCGTCCTGCACAGGGTGCTACTGGTGGTTGGGTGATGCCGGGTCTTGTATTCAAGTGGTTTCCTTTTGTGAGTTCTCACTATTTGATACTCCCTAGGGTTAGCTCTCTGGTCTAGGGTCTTGGAGACAGTGCTCCCACTCCAAAGGCTCAGGGTTTGATCTCTGCTATATATCAGGCTTGGTCTGTGACACTTGAGATCCAATAGTAATCCAAACAGAAAATGTTGTTCCCCATGGTATTGTTTTCAAAGGTTAGTTCTGACTGCTTGTAGAGGATCGACTGCAGGGGGCCAGGGGTGGCAGTGGGGAGACCAGGAAGAAGGCTATTGTAGAAAACCAGGCAAAAGAGGACAGTAGTTGGAATCGGGGTGGTAGCTCTGTGATGGTGCACTTTGGTATCCCCCTCAGCATGGGCGCAACATCTGTGGGGACTCTGAGTGGAGTTGCAGGGTGCAGGGACCTGAGATCAGGGTCAGGCAGGGATGAAAGGTCTGTGATCCCCTAGAATTTACATTCTGTAAACTCTACACTCATGAAAGACTGCTTTCTTGATCCCACCAGCATGTTCTGAATAGCTGGGGGAGAAACTCTGAATGTGGTTCATGTGCAAGGTAGGCAAGCAGCCAGACACCTCATGTGAGTGGACAGGTGGCCGACTCTGCCATGAGTGGCTGGGGGAGGCAACTTGCAGTGGGTGAGTCTCACCAAGGAGCTCTTAGATGCAGAAGGCAGGTGGATTTCCCCAGCAGTCCATCTGGAATACCTCAGGGAAGTTGCTGACTGGACATGCTATGCTGAAGGGCATGACCTAGCTGGACTCCCCTGTCCCTGGATCCTTGGTTATCTAGAAAAGCCTTCCAAATATACATCAAGTCTACTGTAGGCAAGAGTCTCCTTAGAATGATTCCTGTTTACCCTCAGTGGGTGCAGAAGGAAGAATGTCAGGGCATAGGTAATGACTGGCAGGTCCAACACACTGGTTCTTCTGTCCCTGAACCTACCTTAGGCACGGACACAAGATCTTAGTGAAAAGGCTCAGTGGTCTGATTCCAGGCTGTTTCCAGTCTCAAGTGGAGAGATGGGCTTCCTTAACCAGCCCTTCCCTCCTTTTGATAACAGAATAATGACAGTTTATCTTTCCAGGGAAAGATTAGTCAGAAGATCTAGGTTTAGGTTCTGAAACTAAAAAGCCTCTTGATGAAAATGAAAGAGGAGAGTGAAAAAGTTGGCTTAAAGCTTGACATTCAGAAAACTAAGATCATGGCATCTGGTCCCATCACTTCATGGGAAATAGATGGGGAGACAGTGGAAACAGTGTCAGACTTTATTTTTTTGGTTCCAAAATCACTGCAGATGGTGACTACAGCCATGAAATTAAAAGACGCCTACTCCTTGGAAGGAAAGTTATGACCAACCTAGATAGCATATTAAAAAGCAGAGACATTACTTTGCCAACAAAGGTCCATCTGGTCAAGGCTATGGTTTTTCCAGTGGTCATGTATGGATGTGAGAGTTGGACTGTGAAGAAAGCTGAGTACCAAAAAATTGATGCTTTTGAACTGTGGTGTTGGAGAAGACTCTTGAGAGTCCCTTGGACTGCAAGGAGATCCAACTAGTCCATCCTGAAGGAGATCAGTCCTGGGTGTTCATTGGAAGGACTGATGCTGAAGCTGAAACTCCAATACTTTGGCCACCTGATGTGAAGAGTTGACTCATTGGAAAAGACCCTGATGCTGGGAGGGATTGGGGTCATGAGGAGAAGGGGATGACAGAGGATGAGATGGCTGGATGGCATCACCGACTTGATGGGCATGAGTTTGAGTAGACTCCGGGGGTTTGTGATGGACAGGGAGGCCTGGCGTGCTGCGACTCACAGGGTCGCAAAGAGTCAGACACTACTGAGCGACTGAACTGAATTGAACCATTTATAACCTGAAAAAACTTGAGAAGCGTTCTTACAGGCTGTGAGCTTCAAGTTCCTAATTTGTAATAAAATGAGGATGATGACAACACTTATCTGATAAGGCCATTGTGAGGAACAGAAGAGATCATACAGTTGAAATGCTTTGTCAACAACAAATGCTATATGACTTACCACTTTCCCAAGCTTCACAGTCTAGGTCTTAGTCAGAGACCTGACTCCCCTGGCCCTCTGACCTGCTGTGGGAGTCACAGTCCATTTCATAAAATGTTTCCCTTTGTTACATCTTGCTTCTCATTACTGAGCACATGTTTCATGTATTATCTGGACAGCAGAGGTTGTATGTCATATCTGTTCCCAATTTCCTACAGCACACGTGGCTGATAAATACTTATTGATGGTGTAGAACTGTCCCACTGTGGAGCATGAACTTGGAAGTCAGGACCTCTGCCTAACTCCCTTACCCCGCCAGCCTTGTAGGTTGGCGCCAAGGCAGGAGGGGAGGGGAGGGTTCACCCAGCGCTCTGGGTCTAGTTCCATCATTTCTCACCAGTCTTCTCAACTATGAATGGAGCATAACAACATCTTGCTCATTATGAAGAGTAGCCACTCACTGCATGCACATGGGAGGCTTTTTACAAACCATAGAGAAAATACAAAGTGTTGCTCCCAAGGTGAAGGCCATGGCTATGGAAGCAGAGCATTGGTCCAGGTGGGGACTGCGTCCATATCATTAATGTGGCATAAAAGCTGCCTCTCAGACACTTACCTGGGGGACTGGAGCTGCAACTGGACCAAGGGATGAAGGTCTGAGAGCTGTTGCTGATAGGGTTGCTCACAGTGCAGATGTAGACGTTGTTGGCATGCTGAGGGCCAAGAGTGAGATACAGGAGGTGGGAGCTGTTGGCGGGACTCAGCAGGGGGGTGCCTGCTTCCTCGCTCCAGTTGTAAGTCACATGATCCCCTTTCTCCACCATGCACGCCAGCTTGAGACTGCAGTTCCCATCTTCCTGGGTGGAGTTCAACACCTTAATTTGAGGAATGGAGACCTGCTCTGTCAAGAGGGGGAGGAAGGGAGCCATCACTGAAATGAATCCTCTGGAACGGTGATTTAACCTTTTTGTTAGAAATAATGCAAACTAACAGCATCGTTCCCTCCCTATGGATCTGCGGTGTAATATATTTCTAGTAGGAACGTACTACTTCGCACCTTTCTTCCCCCTATTACCCCTCTATGCTCCTTTCCAGGACCAGGGATAAAGCAGAGAAGAGAAATATTGTCTTTTAGTTCCCTCCCACCAAGACTGTTAGGGCTCCCCTTGCATTCCTCTTGTTTCTAATTTAGGTTGCTCTCCTGTATTCCATCTGGGGAGTTTGCTCTCAGCTAATTTCCCCGCGGGTTTTAATGTCCTTGGTTAAAGTATTACCTTCTATATCTAAAAGAATGACTTTTCAGTGGTGGGATTTCATCTGTACTCTGTGTGTGTGAGTGTGTGTGTATGGCAAGTGCTTTAGGATGCCTGAACTTGGGATAGCCACAGGCCTCACCAAACTTTTTCACTCTAATGATGTAAAATTGGCAATGTAAAAGGGAAAGTCCTATTTATTTAGTAACTACTATAGGACAGGCAGAATACTAGAATTTCACACTCATCATGTTCTTTAATCTTTTCAACAACTTTCTCAACAATTATTATCCTAGTTCTAATTATTCTCATTTTATAGATGAGGAAGCTGAGTTCCAGAGAGGTAGTGTAATAATGCCACTCAACTTTTAACAGCCGAGCTGAGATCTGAAAGTATGTCTGTCTGATTCCAAAATCCAGCCTCTTTCTTTGACTTGAGACAAAACCATGGTTGCAGAGAACATATGTTCTAAGGTGAGAATTTGATCATAAAATATGATAAGATGTGACAAAGACAGTGAACTGTTCTAGAAAACCTATGTGTAACCTTTGTGCTTATGGCAGCCTTGCCCTGGGGACACTACTGGAATGATCAGAGAGCCCTGTTAGTTGGTGAAGGGCTGTGGGAATTCTGCAGACATTGGAAAGGAAGATACCAAGGGAAGGCCGGGGAGGGAATTGCTGTCTTGTGGTACCTGAGGATTTTAAAGAAATGTGTGTATGGGGCTTCCTGACCCATCTTCAGAGATAAGAAAATCACTGTGAAGAAGCAGGACACCACACATGGCTGCCAGGTTCCCTGGGAATTCAAAGGAGCTTTGGGACTGAAGAGATAAACCCTAAGTGCATTCAAGAGGGGCTGGCAGTTAAAGAGGCTCAAAAACAAAAACAAAACAAAACAAAAAACACTGGCCTTGGATTCAGATGGACCTAGGTTTTAGTTTAAGTTCTGCAACTAGGCGATTTTTTTTTGTAACCAGGGCCTTTGTTTAAGTGAGAAGACTATGCTTCTTCCATCTGGTAGATGCAATCCTCTGCCAGGGTGCAGGGCTTGGTGAGTGGTGTGTGGGCTGAGTTTCAGCTCTCCTTCTCCCAGGACCCCTAGTGTAGTGAACCACCTACGCAGATGTGAGTAGGCACATGCAAACCACTTATCTCTTGATTTCAGTGTCCTTGCCTATGAAAGAGAGGTTTTGCTTGATCAGTGGTATTCAAACTTTTAAAAATCAGAAGAAAAACCCACTTTTTTCAAACAAAATCTTATTTGTAAGATTGAGACTCTTGGGGCTCCAGGCCCTCTAGCTTACAGGCAGCTGGGCTCCTTTCCTTTAGAAAATGGGGGTAAAGGTAACTAGTGCTAATCAGCTATTACTAATGTGCAATTTGGACCCCCCCAAAAGATTTGTGAACCTCTAAAACTTCTCCCTGAAACACTGTTTAACCCTAGACTGAGATGTCTTTCAAGTTGCTTCCAATTCTGAATACCCTTTGCTTCTGAGAGAAGCTTGAATTCCTAGGCAAGGCTTATGTCGTTCCTTGTGGGCCACGGAAGCCACCGTGATTACCATAGAGCTTCAGCTGCAGGCTAAACTGCTGGACTGAAACATTTTCCTCCAGGCTCATGAAGTACCAGCCTTCATCCTCCTTTTTGCTCTTCAGGATCCTCAGGCTCAGGTTTTCCAGATGAAACTCATAGCCATCCTCCAGAGGACGTGGAGAGTCACCTTTCCGCAGATCTAGGGACACTATTTTCTTCTTGACAGTGTCTTTGGGTGATTCTGCCATTGTGACAAGGATGTGGATGCTCTTATTCATGCTCCTGCTTATCTCCTTAGATGCCAGGGGCAACAGCACGCTGCTTCCCAGCTGCCCGAGAATCATCTTTGTGGAACTGGTCAAGCCCTCACCTGTGGAAAGAAGGAGAGGGAAGTATCTTATCATAGAAGCCTTTGAGACTTATGTCCGTGCATCAGGAAAAACAGACTGAAGGATCTCTCTCTTCCTCTCGGCCAATCCCTGGGGTTGCCAGATCCTTAGTAGTTTATAAGGACTGTCATGAGGATCTCACTACATTCTCAATATTAAAAAAATCCAGATGGAAGTCTTGTAATAGAACTGTATAGGCTAACTAGAATACTTGATCTCTATGATCTAGGAGGGAATTCTATCAACTCAGATTTACAGTTAAGGTGCCTAAGGCATAGAGAAGTTAAATGACATGCCTAAAGTCATATAACTAGTAACTAGATTAATTCCTCAGCCAGACTTCTCACCACCACTGGATACCATAAGTCCCCTACATATGAGCATTCAAGTTGTAAACTTTCAAAGATGTGAATGTGCCCTTATATGCCAACTGTTTACTGTATTGTGCTATTGTACTTTCCAAGGTACTATACTGTAAGATTAAAAATGTTTTCTTTTAATTTTATTTTTAACACCAAAAACTTTTGTATTGCAGTATAGCCAGTTAACAATGCTGTGATAGTTTCAGATGAACAGTGAAGGGACTCAGCCATACATATACATGTATCCATTCTCCCTCAAACCCCCTCCCATCCAGGCTGGCACATAACACTGAGCAGAGTTCCATGTGCTATACAATAGGTACTTTGTTGGTTATCCATTTTAAATATAGCAGTGTGTACATGACCTTCTCAAAATGCTTTTTATGTGTTTGTTTTTAAAGCATTATTTGTGTGAAAAATATCATCAACCCAGTCCAGTCCAGCACTATATAGCCGATCGTGTTCGTTGAGTACCTAGGCTAACTTTGTTGGGCCTACAAAGAAATAGGATTTATGAGCAAATTGGACTTACGAGCTCCCTCTCAGAATGTAACTCAGTCACACATAGGGGACTTAACTCGTTCATACACAGGAGACTTACTCATAAATAGTATGAAGGAAGGAGGGCAACTGAAACTAACTCTGAGCTTGTGAGCCCAAGAGACCAAGGTTACAGAAGCATCATTTCAAGTGAGAAGGAAAGAGAAAAGTCTGAGGGATGTGCAGTCAAGGAGAAGGTGAGCCTGTGGAATCTTCTCTCTCCAAAAGCCATTGAGATATTTAATAATGTTGAGGGAGAGAAATTATTTTATTTCTCTTTTTCAAAAATGCCGAACCAAAAAAAAAAAAAAAAAACCCAAACCTTTCAAACCACTGTAAGGGATCCTACTGCTGACTTTTTAACACCTCCTCTCTCCTCAAACCCACAACTTCAGTTGATGAACCTGCCTCTCATTTCACTGAAAAAGGAAAAGAAACAAAAGAGAACTTTGATTTGTTCCCACTACCAAGTCAACCTACATACTTGGATGGATGGTCTATGCTCTTGGGTAAGGCTAGCCTCTTCATGGAGCACTCACTCACTTTAAGGCTTTGCTCCCGCAACTTCTGCCACCCCTTGCATCATCAATTTTGTTATTGTTATGGTACATTGTGGGTTATTTCTATTAACACCCGACATACCAACATGTAATTTCCCTTATCTTAAAAACCCTGATCCCAGGTCCATCCCCAGCCAATTCCCCATTTCTCTGTTTTCCTTTATCCTAAAGTTCTTTAATGTGTATTTATCCCTTCTGTTCTCATCTCCTGACTTATTTTTCCTTGTACTCACTTCAGAGAGGCCTTCTCCTTTACCCCTCACTGGAACCACTCTTGTCAAGGTCACTGTATATCCCATGATACTAAGTCAATTCTCCATCTTCATCTTGTTTTCTCAAGAGTGCTGAGAAAGTTCACATCCCCCTGTTGAAACACTGTCTTCATTTGGCCCAGAGAACAATACACTCTCTTGGTTTTCTTCCTATTTCATTGGCTGCCCTCTCAATCTCCTTGACTGAAACCTTCTGCTCTTAAAGACCTCTAAAATTGGAGCATTCCAGGGATCAGTACTCAGACTTCTCTTCTTTCCCAGCCACACTTATCTATTAATAGTTGCACAGTTTGACAGGTTTCTGGAATGCCTCCAGAGAGGTATCGCCCATCCAAATCCTTCACTGTACTCCAAACTGCCTACATCAATTACTATTAGTGTTTCTTTGGAGGTCTAAAGGGCATCTTAGACTTAGCAAATGAATTCTTGATTCTATAGCCTCTTCTGCAAACAACATTACAATTCCCAGGCCAAAACACTGGAATCACCCTTGCCTCCTTTCTTCCTTTCATATTCCATATTCAATCTATCAGCAAATCCTGTTGGCTCTGCCTTCAGAATATATCCGACATCTGAGAACTTCCAACCCTCTTCATTTCTACCACCATCATCACAGGCCTGGCTCTTCTTTTGTCTTCCAACAAATCTTCCTGCATCTTACAATGGACAGAGAAACCTTTTAAAACTATGTCAGATTTTGCCTCTCTTCAAAGAGAGACAAAATCCATAGTTCTTGTTATGGCTTCAAAGATTCTGAATAATCCAGTCCCTTGTACCTCTCTGACTCCATCTCCTGTCCACTCTTCACTCACTACACTATGGCCACACCAGCTCCAGATGGTCCATAACTCATCTGGAGCATTCTCATCTCATAGCTTTTGCATTTATTGTTCTATCTCTTTCTGGAAATCTCTTACGTATCTAAAGAGCTCATGCTCTCATTTTCTTTTAGATTTCAATTCAAGATTTCAATTTCAATTTCAATTCAAGATTTCAAAAAAATCATCTTTTCAGAAAAACCTGCTCTGATGATCCTATCTATCCTACCTTATCCTTTCTTGCTGCACTTATCACTGTCTGATGTTATACTGTATATTTGGTCATTTTTATTTTTGCCTCCCCCCCTACTATAATGCCAACCTCTCAAGAGGAAGAAGTTCATGTTGTTCATTGTTTTTTCCCTAGGACCTACAGCAGTGGTTGGCATACAATAGATTTTAAATAAATATCTGTTCAGTTTATGAATGCTGAAAGCCATGTTACCTGACTAAAATCTCTCTTATTTAGCTTTGACCCATATGTGGCTGAACTTAATAACTGAACTTAATCATAAGCTAATGTTCATAAAAGAAGGAGCCCATGACTCAAAGAGAGCACAGATTGTTCTAGTTGATAAGAAAGTCAAAAGAGCACAATAAAACTGTCTGCTTAAATAATGCAGACACCTAGAAAAGGCACAATTAACTTGTGGTTAAGATGTGTTGTTGGAAATTTGGGCAAACAGATTCAGATGTTCTTGATAGCAAAATGCTTTGATATCCTGCAAAGGGCCCTGATGATATCAGACTAGAGATTTAAAGGTTGGGAAAAAGAAAAATTAGGATTTGAATGGTTGGCTCTTGTAAGTTTTTTTCCTATGCTATGTGATTTGTGGGATGTTAGTTCCCCAACCAGGGATTGAACCTCAGCCCCAGCAGTGAAAATGCTGAGTCCTAACCGTTGGATTGCTAGGGAATTCCTGGCACATAACTATTAAGGAATGGTGGAAAGACAATTAGCATTTGTTCTTTTGGATATTGCTATTAAATCAACTCTTGAAACAGAGTGCCTAATTAAACAGTTGCTTAATTTATTAGACAAAGAATGCTATTCTTGGTGCTGGTATTGTTATTTTTACAAAGATATATAAGAGAACATGTTGAAATTCCTTCTAGTCGCACTTATGGATGCCTGGCTGTCCAGATAATGTGGTACATATGATACCCAAGAGAGTAACTCTTGAATCCTGAACCTAAACTTCTACCCATAAAGGGATGGCAGAAAACTAGAACCATCCATGCAAGTAGAAATATCACATGGTATACAGGCCCCCTAAATTGAATTTAGAATTCATATAGGTAAGCATATGTACATTTTTTCTAGGAGCATAGCCATGAATGTCACTTCTCAAAGGAGTCTGGGCTGCAAATCAAGGTTGAAAACTACCATCACACTGTTGATTTTTTTAGATCAGTTTTGATATGGAGAAGAAAAAAATGCAAATGATACCCACTTATAGACCATAAGCCTCCACCCTCTCTTGTGGCCTGTGTGTCCTTTCCACTCACCTAATCCAACAGACTCTTTACACCATGGTTGTTTTTGGAATTTAGAAATGGAAGGGAGTTGGGGGAAGAGGAGACAGAGGATGGGGCAAAGTAGCCAAAAAAAAGTAAAAAAAAAAGAAAAAAATTTCTTTTTAAAGAAAAGAAGAGGGAAAGAAAGAGAGAGCAGATGAGAATGACAGGATGAGTGGTTTAAGCAGACTTGGTCATGGGGAATGGAATCAAAACTTCATTAAGAACAGACCCTCACATGCCACAACCCACATAAAGAATGATGATGTAACAACTGAGTGTGTGAGTGGCCGGGTCTGTAGGGGGGTGTGTGTGACCTCACTGACACCTGAGCAAGAGTGGAAAAACAAGTGGGGACTTTAAAGTGGTTCATAAAACCCTTCAAGTAGAGTACCAGCTCCTGAAACATCCTACTGCCTGATGAGTGTTTTCCAGTGGGTTTGTGATTCAGTCAGACCCTGTTTACTAAAAGAGTCTGGAGGAAACATTTGCAGCTGTTAACACCAACTCACTTTCCTTCCAGGGCAATTCTACTTAGAAAGTAGAGTGATTCACATGAGCCCATGGATATTTTCCTGAAATTAGTAGCATTTAGCCAACCCTTTCATAAGGTGGGACTCTACCTAACGATAACATTTTTGGCGGGGGCAGGGGGGCAGCCCTGACACTGGGCATCTTGCTACACCATTTCTTTCAGGGAGGACTCAGAGCCCTCATAGTTCTTATGGGAAATCTGGGCTCACGAAGAAAAGATAACGTATCTTAGTCTCCTTCTTAAATTGAAGTCCTACCAGGTGTCCTTCTAGTCCCATTCTCTGATGCTGCTGGGTCTTTCCATCTTAGAATATTTGTGCTTACCCTTCCCCAGCCTGAAAGCCTGTCACTGCCCTTTATTTGCCTGGCTAACTGCCGTCCTCCAGGCCTCTACGTCTGGCCCCTGGCTGTGATACAGTTTCTCTGCTGTGTGCTACCAGTGCGCTTTGGGTCACTCCTTTCATATCACCCATCACACTTTTAACTCTCGTTCAATGCCTTTTATCCTTATGCAATTACAAGCGTCTAAGAGTAGGGTCTGTGTCTGTTTTGTTCACCACTGTAACAGGGAAACAAATCTCTCTTCAATACCCTTTTATACTGTTGAAGTTTTATAGACCTACGTAGGATACTCCTCCATGAACAAACTAGTTAACAAAAAATTAAAAAACCACATGATGGGGACTTCCCTGGTGGTCCAGTGGCTAAGACTCTGCACTCCCAGTGCATACAGCCTGGGTTCGATGCCTGGTCTGGGAACTAGATCCCACTAAGAGTTTGGATGCCACAAGTAAAGATCCTGCCTGCTGCAACGAAGATCACACAGGATGAAATTAAGACCCAATGCAGTCAAATATAAATACTTTGGAAAAAATAAAATAAAATAAAATAAAAGCGATGACTACTAGAAAAAAAAAAAAAACCCACGTGATGAAAGATGTTTCTATCTACTTTCCAAATCCCAGATCAAATACTTCCATATGCCTTCTACTTCCTTCTCTGATTTATCCAACTTCTCTCACCTTTTGTAAATTCCTATGTTTAATTTCAATTCAATTAAAATCAACTCATATGCTTCAATTATAGACAGCACAATCTAATTTTTCTGGATACAAATTTTAGGATTCTCCTCCCTAAACATAAGCTTATCCAGTTTCATTCCTTGAAGCCTCTGGAGTCAAGCTGTGTGATTAAGGAGAAATTACTAACTACTCTATGCCTCTTTTTCTTCTTTTATAAAATCATAATGTAGCAATACCAACTCATAGAGGTGGTATAATTAAATGAATAATACACATAAAGCACTTACAACAGTGTTGGATATATAGCAAGAAAATTCTGTACATACTGTTATTAATCATTCAACAAACACTTGTAGAAGGGCTCTCATGTGCCAGAGTCTGTGCCAAGTTCTGGGCAGAGACTGTGGTTGTTCATTTTACCCCACATGTCACCTAGTGCCAGCCATACTGTGTGTCCTTGACAGATAGTTGCTGAATGGGATTGTCCAAAGTCAATCTATGGATAAAACCAAATAGCCCTGAAGTTCTGATTTCCAGTCTAACACCAGAGATAGGGAAGTCAGTGGCGTTATGTCACAGTATAAAAACTTTTGAGAAATAAAAATGCCTAGATCTAAATATTGGGGTAGAATGGGACAGTGAATACACAAGATTGGGCAAAGTCTAGAACCACTCTCCCAACTTGCCCCTCACTTCTCCCCTTATGTGTGTGATGGAAGTGGGGAGGACCTGAATAAAGGGATAAAAAATCCTACTGGGGTAGATTCATCAGTTGTAACAGATGTACCAATCTGGTGGGAGATATTGATAATGGGAGAGGCTATGTGTAAGAGGCCCTGGGAAATTTCTGTACTTTTCAATCATTTTGCTGTGAACCCAAAACTGCTCTGAAAAAGTGAAGCCTATTAAAAAATGTATCACTGGGGGAAATGGAGAATTCAGTTCACTGGGGGAGGGGACGTGTGGACTTTTTGATTTTTACAGTTTTGACTGGGAATTGGAAGGTGAGCTGAGTAGAGATGGAAAGGGGAGTGGGTACTAATTTTACAAGAATTGGGCTTCTTGGTTGGGTAATTCTGTCATGGTTGACCTGTCCCATTTGCAAAGCATTTCTGTCTGGGTTTTATTGGGGTTTCACAAGAGAGTGCATGTTTAAAAATAAAAACAGTAAAATTTTTGTACATATTTCAGAGAAGACAGTCGTAAGAAAGATGAACACTGCTGATTGGATAGACACGCCTTTAAAGGGCTGGGCTGTTTCTTACTAACCAGTGACCTTCAAAGCTTTGCCTGCAGCAGCTGTCAGCAGAACCTGAGATGCCAGGGCCAGGCTGACCAGAAGGCAAGTCAGCACAGGGACAAAAAAGTTCAGCTCACTGTTCAAACCCATCACTCCTGATAGTCACCAGAAAGTATTCCAAAAATGGTGGAATTGTGAATGGAGTGCCCCCAGGAAGGTTTAACTCTTCCTGAAGTGAAGTGTTAGTCGCTCAGTCATGTCTAACTCTTTGCGAACCCGTGGCCTGTAGCTTGCCAGGCTCCACTGTCCATAGAATTCTCCAGGCAAGGATACTAGAGCGTGTCGCCATTTTCTTTTCCAGGAGATCTTCCTGACCCAGGGATCAAAGCTGGGTCTTCTGCATTGCAGGCAGGTTCTTTATCATCTGAGCCATCTCATTATGGCTTAAAGTAGTCCCATATGGCTTTCTGAGCCCTGAGTTCAATCACTGCTCTCTGAGACCCTGGGCAGCAAGAGCCACCAGTCTGTCTGATTCCGAGGAAATGCAGGGCGAAGGAAGAGCTATTCATCTGGGAATCTGTCACAAGACCAATCTCAAGTGCAGCCCCTCAGATAACCTCAGCGTATCTCTGGGCTTCTCCTGGAAAAGTCCATAATGGATTTGCGGTCTTGAAAACCCCAAGAACAAAACATCCAGAGCCTCAGGATTTTCCCTCTTTCCCTAATGCCGCTTCCACTTTAGGCTGCCTCCCACAGTCTAAACAAAGTCTGAAGGCATTTAAGCAGAAAGGAGATGCTCATCCACTCCTTAGTGAGCCCAAAGTTTGCTCATTGCTTGGCTTTTTCTTTCCCAAACACCTTTCCTCAAATCTCTAAACAGAGTAGTTCACAAAACTACTGAACAGAGAATGCCAGCAAACCAGACAGATAGTAGCAGAGTCCGTTTCCAAACACTTTGGCTCTACACTGGAGCTACCCTGACTGAGCATTCCTGCTTTGCATTTCTCACTAACTGTAACCAGCCCTGGGCTCCAAAACTCCTGGCCTCTTCCCCTCTTGCTGCCTTGGAACGCTACTTCCAGGAAAGTAGCCACCAGTACAACCACACTGGCCACTATCGGTTCCCAACCATTGCCTGGGGTTTTCACTTTGACCCTGTCTTCCCGCTACAGCCCTTTCTTGTAGGTGGACCATGTTTGGTTTGTCTGCTTGTGTGTGTGAAGATCCCATCCAGGACAGGGTTGTAGGAGTAATTTTCCCCCAGAGCTCCCTCCCTCCAGCTCATTCCCTTAGCCTGGGCCTTTGCCAGAAGGATAAGATCCCCATCCAGGACAGGGTTGTAGGAGTAATTTTCCCCCAGAGCTCCCTCCCTCCAGCTCATTCCCTTAGCCTGGGCCTTTGCCAGAAGGATAAGATCCCCATCCAGGACAGGGTTGTAGGAGTAATTTTCCCCCAGAGCTCCCTCCCTCCAGCTCATTCCCTTAGCCTGCGCCTTTGCCAGAAGGATACTCACACAAAACCAACCACTCAGCCAGGACTTTGACTGCAGCCTCTCGCCCAGAGAGGCCGGTCTAGAATGTGACCGGTGTCTTGGACTGGAACTCCTGGTTTCCTTGGAAACTAGGATTGGCGGGGCTGAGCCTCGGATCCAGGAGCCCAGTAACTCACAATCTTCCTTCCTCTTCGACAGAGGCAGGAGGAACTCAGTCTCTGAGGAAGAGGCAGCAGATCACAGCCCACCCCCTACCCCCCTGCCTCCTACCCACAGCCAAATAACAACCCCTGGCCGCTGAGCTCTCTCTTTGTCTAGGTGGCTATAGCTGATTCCTGATAGGTAATCCTAGGACCCAAGCCCTCAAACGGATGAACACTTACCTGTTCTGCAGCTCAGCTCAAAAATCAGAGAGGAAAACAGCAGGACATTCACGGAGAGGAGCCCCTTGGGATCCATCAGCCAGTGAGGACAAGGAAGGGAGTCTGGTGAGAGCCGGGCCGCTGCTCTCAGACACCAGCCGGAGCAGAGAGAGCTCCGCGTCAGCCAAGTGCTGCCTCTACTGTCTAGTTTATGCATCAGAAACCAGCAGGCTTCCTGTCTCACTGGGGCTTTTTCTGCCTGTGCCTCAAGGATTGGTCATCTCTCTCAAGCCTGAAGTCACTCTGCTCTTCCCAAGAAGTCAGAGTCAGGTGCTTACACTGCAAGAGCCGGGAAGGGATCTGTGTAATCACCTCGGTCAAACCCCCAGCCTTGGCAGAGATGTCCCCCCCACCCCCCTCCCTTTCTCAGCTGTCTCCGGGAAAGGGATGTCAAGCCTCTCTGAGCAGTTCTGTCTGGTAACTCTTATTACAGTGCAAAGAAAAGATGTAGTTGTGTCAGGCTACCCAAAATTTGGATAGGTTTGTTCAAGTTGTACTTGGATGATTGAATTTTTAAAAAATTTAGTTTATTTTTTTTGAAAGATAATTGCTTTACAGAATTTTGTTGTTTTCTGTCAAACCTCAAAATGAATCAGCCATAGGTATACAAATATCCGCTCCCTTTTGAACCTCCCTCCCATCTCCCTCCCCACCCGACCCCTCTAGGTTAATACAGAGGCCCTGTTTGAGTTTCCTGAGCCACACAGCAAATTCCTGTTGCCTATCTATTTTACATATGGTAATGTAAGTTTCCATGTTTCTCTTTCCATATATCTCACCCTCTCCTCCCCTCTCCTCATGTCCATATGTCTATTCTCTGCATCTGTTTCCCCATTGTTCCCCTTTAAATAAAATTGGAATGATACAGAGAAGATTAGCATGACCCCTGTGCAAGGATGATGGACATTTTACTTCTGATTTGTTCCATAATTTCAGAGAACATCTCTCCATGCAGTCAGGTCCTGGTGCCAAAATCACAGAGAGATGGAGGTGGGCAAGGGTGGATCAGCTGGCAGAAACCCAGTTTCCCTGCTGGGTACATTGTGGTAGAATTTAATGAGCCCTATGCTGTGTTTGGAGGGGCTACCTTATTTTAGATCTTGCAACTAATCTTTTTTTTTTTTTCTTTGCAACTAATCTTTTTGTTGAGGAGGAGGGACTAAAACTGACAGAAAGTCTTGTGCTTTTCCATAAGTTAAGCAATAAATATGATACACACTGTTATTGACTCACAAGGAAACTTTGAAATGCAGTTGTAACAGATATCTTTTTGGGCTGCGCTGGGTCTCCACTGCTGGGCTCCGGCTTTCTCTGGCTGCGGGAGCAGGGGCTTCTGAACCTTGGTGCTCAGGCCTCTCGCTGTGCCGGCCTCTCTGGTCTCACGGCACGGGCTTCAGCAGCTGCGGCTCGCGTGCTCTAGGTGTGTGGGCGCGGTCACTGCGGGGCACGGGCTGAGTTGCCCCCTGGCGTCTGAGATCTCCCCATACTCGTTCCCCGCACCACACGGTGGGTTCTTCCTGGACCATCAGGGAAGCCCCTGTAACAGGTATTTTTAAAGTCCACATAACAGGTCAAAGTCACTTTCCAATGGGCCTCCCTAAGAGGATAAGGGTAATAAGAGCTGGTGACATAGTGAAAGTGCTCTTTATTCTCATCATTCCCCTCTCCACATACATAAACACCTGACACCCAGCTATCCCACCTACAACACTATCCAGCGATGTGCTGAAGTCAGCACATATCAACTCTCGAGAGCCGGTTGTTCAAGTTTCAGAAATCTTGTGAGCTGGTTATTGATAAACATTATGTTATTAGAAATGGAATTATATACATTTATAATTAAATAAATTACATCCAAAACTGAGGGAATTGAAAACTCAAAACTCATTACTTCTTTATTTTACATTTTACTCTTCTCTATGCTCTTGAGAACATTACATCTATTGTACCTCTGTCATGGGAACAAAATATCTGATCATGGGTGCTGCTACACGGCTTTCCCCAGCTTTGCATTCAGTGACATCATATATACCATGAAAAGAGGAAAACTATATAAATCAGAGTTTTGATTCACTGGGTTTTTAGAATATGTATTTATTTGGCTGCGTCAGGTCTTAGTTGTGCCATGCAGGGTCTTTCTTGTGGTGTGTGGACTCGCAGTAGTTGCACTGCTTGGGGTTAGTTGCTCTGTGGCATACAGGGTCTTAGCATTCTGACCAGAGATCCAGCCCACATCTCCTGAATTGCAAGGTGCATTCTTAACCACCAGACCATGAGGGAAGTCCATTGATTTATTGTTTTGTTAATTATCTAGATGTAAGACAGTGAGAAAAAGATTAAACTTAAAAGTGTGTCATTGTGCACCCCAATGTTCATTGCAGCACCGTTTATAATAGCCAGGACATGGAAGCAACCTAGATGCCCATCAGCAGACGAATGGATGAGGAAGCTGTGGTACATATACACCATGGAATATTACTCAGCCATTAAAAAGAATTCATTTGAATCAGTTCTAATGAGATGGATGAAACTGGAGCCCATTATACAGAGCGAAGTAAGCCAGAAAGATAAAGACCATTACAGTATACTAACACATATATATGGAATTTAGAAAGACGGTAGCGATAACCCTATATGCAAAACAGAAAAAGAGACTCAGATGTATAGAACAGACTTGTGGACTCTGTGGGAGAAGGCGAGGGTGGGATGTTTCAAGAGAACAGCATCGAAACACGTATATTATCTAGGGTGAAACAGATCACCAGCCCAGGTTGGATGCATGAGACAAGTGCTCGGGCCTGGTGCACTGGGAAGACCCAGAGGGATCGGGTGGAGAGGGAGGTGGGAGGGGGGACCGGGATGGGGAATACATGTAAATCCATGGGTAATTCATTTCAATGTCTGACAAAAACCACTGCAATGTTGTAAAGTAATTAGCCTCCAACTAATAAAAATAAATGGAAGAAAAAAAAAAGTGTGTCATGACTGTAGTTTTAATTTTGACATGCATAAAAAGTTGAGGAAATATTTTCTAGTATTTAAAAACTTTTATTTTATTCAGCATAAAGTCACTAGTGTCACAATACATGTCTTCTATATATCTTCACATTTCTTTAACTTAAAAAGAATTAACTGCAAGCAACAATTGAGAATGGAATAAAACACTTAAAAGTGTTGAGGAAAAAAACTTATAATTATATAATTATAACCACCAACTTATAATTTTCTGTATCCTGTGAAATTATTCTTCAAAAGTGAAGAAGAAATAAAGATATGTTCAGACAAACAAAGATGGAGGGAATTTGTTGCCATAGTTCTGACTTGTAAGGAATGTTACAAGAATTTCTTTAGAGAGAAGGAAAATAATAAAGGTCAGAAACTCAAATCTACTGAGGAAGAGCATCAGAGATGGAATAAGTGAAGGTAAAAATAGAAGCTTTTATTCCTTTTATTCTTAATTGATCTAACAGATAACACATTGTTCAAAATAATAATAGCAACAATATATAAACAATATACCAAATTATGTATGCTTCTGCATATGTCTTGTGCATATATGCTTATATATAACTGAAACGAATGACAGCAATGATGCACAAGTCACAGGAGGGAGGAATTGGGATTATTTTGCTACTATTAAGTTCTCATACTACCCATGAAGCAGTATAGTGTTATTTAAAACTGTGCTTGGATTAATTATAAATGTATATTGCAAAATCTAGGGCAATCACTAAAAGAAGTTAAAAAAAGAAGTATAACTGACATACTAAGAAAGGAGAAAAAATGAAATCTTACAAAAGCTCAATCACAACCATAAAAGGCAGAAAAAGAGTGGAAGACAAAAAGCACAACAAAGAATGAGGTTAACAAATAGAAAATAGTAACAAACATGGTAGATATTACCCCAACAATATCAGTAAACACTTTGAATGTTAATAGTCTAAATGAACCAATTAAGAGGCAGAGACTGTCAGAGTGCATTTCAAAGCAAGACTTAACTATACATCTTCAAGAAACCCACTTTAAATATAAACACATAAAAAAATTAAAAGTAAATGAATGGAAAAAGAAAACAAATTAATACTAATCAAAAAAAGCAGATGTGGCTACATTAATTTCTGACAGGCAAGCCATCAAAGTAAGGAAAGCTCTGAGGAATAAAGAGGAGTATTACATAATGACAAAGAAGTCTCCACAAAGGCATAATAATCCTTAACATGTATGCACCTAACAACAGAGCTCAAATAATGAGGCAAAAACTGTTAGACAAGGAGGGAAAAAAAAAAACTGTATACTTCCAACAAAATAGGATTTATCCCAGGTATGCAAGATTGGTTTAACATGTGAAAATCAATTAATCCATCATATCAACAGGCTAAAGAAGAAGACTCACATGATCACATTAATGGATGCAGAAAAACATTTGACAAAATTGAACAAGTTTTTCATGAGAAAAACTCTTGACCAGCTAGAAATGGGGGAAGGGGAATTTCTCAATTTGATAAAGAATATCGGCAAAATCCTATAGTTAAGCCATCAAGTTTGTGGTAATTTGTTACAGCTGCTTTGTTACAGCTGTCACAGGAAACTATTTTAAAGCCTAAGGGGCAAGGTGACTAACCTGAGGTTTGCAGTTATTAACTTGGTACACCAAGCTGCTTCGTCAGCTATAAAGAACAGACTCTGACAGATCAACAACAAAAGATACACTGGTGATAATGCTTTGTATTTACAGAGTCATTATAAAAAGCCTTCACATTGCACTGGACAAGGATCCTAACCAATCTTCATGCTTGTGTTGATCAATAGCTCATTAGCCATGGAACATTCCATTTGGCACAGAGACAAACATAAGCAACAGGAGCATCGGATGAGTACAATTTCTTCCCCACACATTCATCTCTTGTCACAAAGCACTACTTCCTTCCCTTTGCCTATGTGGAGCCCCTCCCTGAGAGCAAGGGGGACCATGTGTCCGTGAAAAAAACCCTCTGCAGACAATCTCAGGTGGGCTGCACAATGAGGTCATCTCCTGCT